AAATTTATGTTTCGTAACTCACCTATGAACTAGAGGAAGTCAAGGAGGAAAGACTTGTCTTTGCAGATTTTTTTTAAAGATTTTTTTTAATTTTTGTTTAGAATGATAAACTATTAATTTTCATGTTTATTTCAACTTGATTTTTTCTTCCTCATTTCTTTATGTTAATTTTTTTTAATAATCTATGAAATAAAAAGGTAAATTAATTATTGAAATTTAATAATTATACTAGTATCAATATATTCAAGGCAGGAAATAAGAAAAATAATCTCCAAAAATAACGAATAAAAAAAAGGTAAAATTAAAAATTTTAAAAATTTAAAATGATAAAATTACCCCTCAACACAAATCACATGTGTTGCACATGAAAAATAAATTTTAAAAATAAATAATTATTTTTTAAAAAGGTCATATAGTATATTTTGATGGTTATAAAAAGTAATAAAGAGAAATAAAACAAAATAGAAAAAAATAATAAAAAGGGACTATTTTGTTATTTTTATATTTTTAGGATTATTTTTATAATTTTTTGAATCTATGGGGGTGCTTTTAGTTAAAAACTAACGGAAAACCGTTAAATTTAACGAAAATTGGCCAATTGGGCGGAATTGACAAAAATTTCAAACAGTAAAGACAAAATTAGCTAACCGGAAATCAATAAGATAGAATTGACGATGAGTCCAAAGTTTTGGGTATGAACGCCAATTTTTCTGACAAAAATTCAAACTACAGAGCTTTCTATTTTCTCTGATAATAAATCTTTGGTTCCCCCTCCATCATCCTGATTGCAATATTTCTTGAAGAAATGGGACAGTTTGAAAATCAAATGAAAGCTACTGCACATGAATTGAAGAAACTCTTGAAGAAAGGGATGAAGGCTGTTGGAACTACATGCAAGAGAGGGTGGTACAAGGTCAAGCATCTCAGGAAGTAAAGAGATGTTTTAGTATTCATGGTGGCATATATAGAGATCCTCCAATAATTCGGTCATTCCTGTTTCTGTGTTGTTTAATTTAATTTTGTTATACACGCTTTTTTTTCTTTGAGTGATTACTTGTTTGTTTGATTTTTGTGTCTTTTTTAACTTCCCCAATCTCCGATCTTATTATTTTCTAAAGAGATTAGTATATTGTGGGAATGTCTATACATAGCTCCTCCTTCCATTTCTCCCCTTTTCCTCTTTTCTTTCAAGTTTTAATAGCTTCTTGTTTGTTAATTAGTACCTCTGTCCCAAAATTATTGTTCAGTTTGCATTCTCAGTTTTAGTATAATTTGAACGAAAAATAAAAATTCAAAGTAAATTACAATTTCGGACGAAAAAAAAAAATTATGAATCATAATCGTAATATCAACTAGATGCTTGACCCGGGCGGATGTCTGGGACGCTTGTATTTTAAGTAAGTAAATTAAGAAAGAATTACTAAACTTTTGAAAAATAATAATTTGTCCAAGGACGTATGTGTTTTAAGTAAGTTAATGAAAAAAAAATAACTACACTTCTGAAGAAAATAATAATAATAATAACAATGATACAAAAGCCATAAGGGACAAATGATTCTTCCGGCCCGACAAATGCTCGCTCAGCTAACACTTACAATTGCCAATTAAAGTATCAGAGAGATAGGTATGCTAATAAGTTAGTACTTTTTTGCATTAGATTTACATCAAATTCATGCACTATGGTTTTAAAGTACAGCGTAATAATGCGCATGAAATAAAGGTAATAATTATTAAATTATGCGCATGAAATAAAATGAACAGAAAACTTTGTCAATGGTGACTTTGATTACACTCGCAAGCGTAATCAAATGATTGTAAAATATATGGTATTGTACCTTAACATGAGCCTTATAATAGGCTCTGAGACTTGGATGGGAGAAAAAATATCATCAGAAGTGAGGTTGGTTAGGCCAGCATCTTTACCCATTGCACATACTATTTTTTGCCTCCATAAGCATCCCAGTTGTTCGCCAATGGCAATATCAACCTGATCTTGAACTTCCTTGCTTCGCTGACAACTAAATCCAAGGCCTAAAAAGAAGAAAGTCATAAAGTTCTAATGCGTGCAATATGGGAGGAATTCAACCGAAATGTACCTGAAAAACTTGTTCATCATAAACAGACGACGATTTCTGAAGAGCGCGCCACTGGCCATCATTGAAAGCCCATGTCCTACACACGGAGAGACCGACAGTTCAGGTGACTTGAAACTAATTACAACTCAATCAACCAAACTGAAGCCAAACTACACTCAGAGACCAGAAAGAAAAAAAAAAAAAAACACCAAGGTTGTGTATTATCCATCGGCTGTGTATATCTTCACATACTGTCAAACAAAAAAAAAAAGAGCCATTGATTATTTTGAAAATGGAAGAATGCCCATATATTAGCTAGAAAACCCAAATTAAATAGATTCCAGCTTACCCAAATAATCCAGAGAGAAAAGCAAAGAAGATAACTTTCCAAGTCATTATTGGTCTTTTTTCCTAAAAGAAAGGTATAGTATGATGATCAGTGACGGAGCCACAAACTAACAGTAACACAACAATGATGCAGAGACAAAAGTTCCATTTTTTTTCACGAATGGAAATAGATCAAAGAATCAAAGACCTGTAAATCATTCTGTTAATTGAGGATATATTTGAACTTCAAATTGACCCCAAACATCCAGCTAATCTCGATGTAATAAACTAACTGGAGACAATGAAAAAAAATTTTGGAGGAAAAATTGGTACCTCTTGAAGAAGAAAGCAAAGAAGCCTTGGGAACAGCTCCGAAAACAAAACGATAAGTGGCTGCAACTCTGAGATCCATCCCATCATGAGCTGCTAATTTCGACAAAGTGGTCATCAAGGCATATATCACACTATACATTACCATTAGCCTTGCGGGAATCCAGCCTTCTATTGTGCTTATACTTGTCATTTTTGTGAATTCCTTTTTCTTCCTCTTTCAAAAGGAAAGAAGAAAGGCCAGAAACCTTAAAGCAAACTCCAGTTTTGTTCTTCTTCGTTGTAATTCCCGCTGTTGTCCTCAAACCGAGGCACTGCTATTTCTGCTCCGGTATTTTCGTCAGATTATTTTGATCCATTTATCATCGGAGTTGATTATGATAAAGTGTATCCGCGAAATTAAATGGTGATTTGTAAGCAAAATGAGTAGATGAATCCTGTTTTGAGGGGTTCCGTTGATGATATTGAGTAATTGCATTACCAAAATCGGTGCGAGTTGATGCCAAATGAAAACTAAAATTATGGAGTAGTTTGTTATCCTTTTGATTTATCTGTAAATCTTTCTGAAAAGTTGGCATTGTGGAATATAAGTTATACTGCTATTTTATAGGAAAATTATTTTAAAAGGATGTAAAAACCTTAAATTGGAGAGTGTTTAAGGTGAACATTTATTTTTGCAGAATGTAAGTCCCTTAAATTGGGGAGTGTTTAACGTTATTCATTTTGTATTTTACAGAATTGTGAAACCTTTTTTTTCGGATGAAGACAAGATACGTGTCATCGTTCTTTTGCAAAAGATGTATTTTTGTTTGTTTAGGCGGGAAAAAAATTTATGTGAACCTGACACGTGTGCTAAGTATCATTTGCTTTCATGAAGTGTAAAGGATGTTCGATTCTATATTAGCGTGCAACATGCACCAATATTAGAGGCAATTTTTTTAATAAAAGCAAAAAATTCATCAAACGTACTTCAATTCTCCTCCAATAAACAAGATCTTTCTTTTGAAATGGGAAATCTCATGTCTCCTCTAAAAAATATAGCAGAAAACTCGGTGAATGTTTGATTGAAAATGAAGTTTATGTTCACAAGATTTTTTTTTTCTCTTTGAAAAATAATGTAGTCACCATTTTGACAGCATCGTTTGGTCTGTCGTGACAGCTGCTACCTCGAGGAATAAATGGGAAGAATTAATTAATGGAATGAAAGAAGAGGCTGACCAAAATGGTTTTTGATAGTATCAGGGTATCCAATCATACAGGAATCATTCCTTCTTATTATATCGTATTTTCCCAATTAAATATTTTATAAAAGTTAGAGAAACACAATAAATGTGGAAAAAAATTTGATATCTTATTTTCAATTAGCTGTTTTCTTTTAGTACTTTATTTAGTACTTTATTTTCACCCCTTTGTGACCTTTTTTCACAAAAAAAAAAAAAAAAACCGACCGTCGTCTCACCATTTTTATTAGAAAAAAATTATAACACTACAGGTAAAATTATAAAAATATTTCAAAATAAAACATTTTTCTTATATTAAAATCTAGTGGTCCTAATGTCAATCCTACTCAAACAACTGCGAGAGAGAGAATAAAATTTGAATCACAACTATTTAAATTTTTTGACATCGGAATATGAGTTTGAAATGGTATTTTAACATACTCCATACAACGCCACAGTAAAAAAATCTAATAATCAAATAAAGGAGCAACAACATTTCTTTCTTTAATTAAGTTAGCTACTGGATAATTCCTTCGTCCAGTAATGATTGTCTAGTTTGTTATATCATTTTTAGTATAAATTGTACTTCAAAAAATAAAATTACAAGGTGATGGATCATTTTCAGATAGAGGAAGTGTATATAGTAATATAAAGTTTTTATTTTTTTAAAAAAAAAAACTTGTTCAAAAAGTAAAAGGTTAAATTAGTCAATTTCCTAAAACTGCTTTTGTCCTATCTGATTACGATAAGAACACAAAGCCCCTTCGAGTTCCGATAATTACCCCTCGAATCCGAATATCCGATCCGCACCCGCCGTGAACTCCGAATCTTCTGATCTTCATCCTAAATTTGCTGTGCTTTTTTCTACCATATGCCCCCAAGAGAGCGAACTCTTCGACCGTCCATCATATTCTTATCCTCCAGATCATCTCATCCTACGGTTAATAATTAAGTAAGCGTTCGAGTGTAGCGTTTCTCTCGCAGCACCGAAACTTAATCCTAAAGTTAACAAGACAAAACGGATAAAAAATAAAATAATACCCACCTAACTTCAGTTAATAGTCGTTTCAATTTCCTTTCTCCCTCCTTCCTACCGACTACCGACTGCACTTTCTCTTTCTAGAAATTCTCTCTCTACACATCCCCACGAGAAAAACGAAGAAGTAATTCCAGATTTCATCCACACATATCTTAGTTATTTCGAATTTGATAGCTGAATTGGAGGATTCTCGGGGGGTGAAACGCTGTGTTCGTTTGTTTCGTGTTCCGGTGAAATTTGAATTTCGTTTAGTTCAAAGATTATGGACATGATGTCAATGGAGGAATCATGCGCCTTACATATGGGAGTTTCAAGCCGCTATGAAGTTCAAGTTGCCACCGATCGAATACGTGTTGAAGTTTTGAGGATACAGCAAAATAAACCGTTTACGCCTCGTTGTTGTAAGTTTAAGCGTTACTGAAAGTTTCTAGGGTTTCGTTTTGGGGGAAAACTTTTTTTGTTGAATAAGAGAAGTTTTTTCTTGTGTTTTGGTGCAATTTATTGCTGTTACTGCGTGGAACTTTGGTGGAATTGAATTATTGGTTGATTGAGCTCTGTGGATTATCTTACGAAAAAAAAAAGTAATATATCCTGGTGTGGGAAATTCTGTTGTTGAAATTTGTTGAAAGCCTATGACTGTGTTACCGGAATATAGCTTTTATGGATTCAACTCCAGCGTACATGAATGATTGGCTTGCTGCTTTCATGGTGTTAGTATCTTAATTTTAAGACTGCTTGTAGGTGAAAATAAAATAAAAAATATCATATAATTTAGTTTGCTTAGGAGGTGTTGAAGAAGTTTGAGAGATCGAGTTGTATCAATTAGTAATGGCGGGAAGGAGAGAAGTTGGATTCGCAAAGGCAAACGGTGTTAATTTGAAGGAGCAATTGGCTATGGCAACACTTCGCAACGTGAGGCTTCAAGGGCATACTTATGTTGATCTGAGGAGAGATGGGAAAAGGTCAATTTTCTTTTGTACTCTGTGTTTGGCACCATGCTATAGCGATTCTATCTTGTATAGTCATCTAAAAGGTAATCTACATTGTGAAAGGCTTACTGCTGCTAAGGCTACTTTGTTGAAATCGAATCCGTGGCCTTTTGATGATGGCGTTCTCTTCTTTGGTGTCACTTCAGAACAAGATACAGTAGTATCTGTACCAAAGCATGATAGTATTCAACTGCTAGACAACATTTGTGAGAATGATGATAGAGCCGTGGTCCCTTATCATGAATCTGTGGATTCCAGTGGCAATGGCCACGCATCTAATGGTGAAGTTGGCTTTCGCAAGAATCCTGGTTGTGTTCTTGCTGAAAACATTTCTCGCACTACTTGTATGCAAAATTTGGTTGATGATATTGTAAGTCCGTTGGTTATTCCAGATGTACTGTGCAAAAATGGACTGTCTCAGTTGGAAGTGACCTGTTTTGGTGTTGCACAAATTGCTGCTCGATTCTGTAAGAAGGATGGAAGTTTAAGTAACATTCGTAAAATATGGTGCGAGTGGCTAGGAAGAGGTAGCTATGAAAGTGAGGATACCCTAACAGTTCTGGAACATGATTTTGCTATAGTTACATTTTCTTATAACTATAACGTTGGCAGAAAAGGGTTGTTTGATGACATAAAGTTTTTGCTTCCATCAAGTCCTCATTCAGAACTTGAGGAGAATACTGCAACTATGAATAGAAAGAGGAAGTCATCTTCTGATCCGGAAGATTTTAGTGAGTCTTTGACTGGTCAGTATGACTCGTCTGGCGAAGAATCTGAGTCTTCAAATTCTAACAAAAGAATGCTCTTGGAAGGGTGTGATGATCAACTTCTGTATCGTAGAGTTTTATCTAGTAAAAGCATGAGGAGAGAGTTGAGGCAACAACAGCAAGCAGCTTCGGAGAGAATGTGTGATATTTGTCAGCAGAAGATGCTCCCCAGCAAAGATGTGGCTGCTCTTTTGAATAGAAAGACTGGAAAGCTTGCATGCAGCAGTAGAAATTCTACTGGAGTATGATTAATATCTTCTCAGTGTTTTTTTTTTTTTTTGTTCAAGTATTTGTAAAATTTTTTCCCCATTTGGTGCTTTGATTCATTTATCCATCTTTTTGATAATGAAAATTTGTATTTACCTGCAGGCATTTCATGTATTTCATGTTTCCTGCCTCATTCATTGGATACTGCTGTGTGAGATGGAAAGTTACGAAAAGCAGTTGAATGCACCCAAACCGAAGCGAAGATCTAGGCGAAAGGTTGGAAGTAAACTAAGTGAAGCAGGGAAGACCGTCGTGACAAAGCAAGTATTTTCCTCATTTTGCCCAGAGTGCCAGGGCACTGGTGTGACCATTGACGGTGATCAACTGGAGAAACCGACTGTGCCTCTTTCTGAGGTTTGTTTTTTCTTTTTAATTCTTGATTGTGGATATCCGCAGAATTTCCTTTATCTGTCCTTTTTCTCTCCATACTTTGTGGTTGAATGTTAAAAGGGCAAATGCGAAGGCAAGATGACAATAATTATTCTGATTATGGTTGTGAATCTGGTTGTTAATTATTTTGTTGTTATTGTAGCGTGTCACTTTAGCTAATTATTTTGTTGTTATTATAGCGTGTCACTTTAGTAATTCTAGGATAAGCCATGAATTACATGCATCTGAAAGGTTTCCATTCTTCAAACATCTGATAAATATTTCTGGTCAGGTGGACCATTTGGAAAAGTTCCTCGCCTGCCTCTTTTCTTTGGGACTATCTGATTAGTCAGTCACCTTATAATGAGTTTGAAGGATTATATCATAGAACAGCGATAAGAACAGTGATGCATGGGTAAAATATGATACTCAAACTAGTTTAGATCAAACTGAAAGGCATCAATTTCCAGAAAATAGACATTCAACATTTTTTTTAACATTGCGGGAAATATTTGTTTGGACTGGAACAAAATGGCAAGCTATGATGTATTGTACTGTATGGTGGTATTGAGGCTTGTTATTTGTTTCTTTTGAGGCGTAAAGAGTCCTTTCGGATTGCAGATATTCAAGTACAAAATTAAAGTAAGTGATGGTTGCCGAGCATGGATGAAAAGTCCGGAGTTGTTGCCTAATTGTTCAACTGGATTTTGCTTTCCTGACCAGTCCGAAGACACGCTTGAGGTTTGGTATTTTTGGAGTTAGTTGCCTTTTGTGAAGCTGTTGAAGGACAGCATTTTTTCATTTTGATTTATGCTTGTCTTGGTCAATATGCACTATAGAGAAAAACTGTTACAATTGATAAGTTTTATCTTTGTTACCAGGAAACGGTTTTACGACTCAGACAACTTCGCTTCTATCGTGCCAATGACGAGTGCTGAACTTGTGGTTTGGAGGAGATAGACGATGAGCCCACCTCGCAGATTTTAGTGAATTTAATTTTAGTAAAAACTTATTAGAGATCTTTGTATTTGTTGTATATGTGTTGATTGCTAGAAATACACTGATCTTGCGACTCAAATGGCACAGTTATGTCAGTATAGCACCTATTCTAAACGTATCGGAAAAGAAGTTAACCTTGTATAGTCCTGAATGGAAGTATAGAAACATATTTGAGGTGACCATGTCTTGAAGTGTCCCGTAGTGTTGCAATTCATTTGCTTATCCTTCCCATTTGTTGTTGATAGTTTTAGGGTCATTTCATTGAATTCTACGGTTACATAAATTTGTTAGTGTGTGTCCATTTGTGTTTTCATGTACTTTTCCGCCCATGTTTAAAGTGAAAATAGGACTACTCTTCAAAGGAATGGGAAAATTGTCTCTTCTACTCATTTTCAATTCTTTATGTTTGGGGCTCAACAATCACCAACACTCTGCACAATAAAATGGTCATCCGCCGGTTAGGTATTCATTATCCCAAGAGACTAGTTAGTTTACTGAGCGCAAAATTTCGAAGCTGATAATAATGTAGCAAGAGTTCGCTACTTAGCGACTTATACAAATAAGCAAATGGTATCCTAGAACATCAGGATTCATTTTCTAACTTCATCAGTGCAGTCCAACATTTCTTCCTCGTCAGAAACCTTCTTCATCTGAAGCAGCACTGATGGATCTCTCTTTTCCAGATACCTAGAAAAAAAGTCGCAAAAATCTGCAGGAAATTTACCTCCTCCTTTTAAAAACCCTAAAATCTCTTCAAATTCGTCATTGTCTCCTTTTTTCTTTAGATAATCAAGACAAGAAGCCACAAGGGTCATACCAGGTCTGGACCGTGGATTGGTACATAATCCCTTTTTTGTCATCTTCACTGCATCTTCCATCTGGTTAATTTTCCAATAGCCTAACGCCATATAATGCCAAGTGCTCGCATTAGGTTCCTCTCCTCTCTCCAAGATATTGTTTACAATTGACTCTGCTTCTTCCATCAGGCCTTTCTTGCAAACTGCTGCCAAAACGATGTTTGGAATCTGTATATCAAAAAGTACATTTTCGGAAAACCATTCGTCCAGCAACTTTTCTGCACCAGCAGTATCATCCAATTTCAACAGGGAACTAATCATACAAATATAACTCCTATTAAGCCACTTTTTAGGTTTCTTGTGCAACTTCCATATGTGATATACCTCATCTTTATTACCCATACTAGCATATTGAGTCATAATAACCTCATAAGCATGACCTACTTCGCGAGGTCTTAGACCTCTTCGTTCTCCATCCTTGATTTTATGTTCACATTTTTTTAGCATATTTGCTGCCTTGGCGATCTCCCCAGCCTTTAGATACACATTTGCTGAGATAGAGTAAGGGATCCAGTCCATAACCACAAGACTATCGGCTTCCATCTTCATCAACAGTTTCTCCATCCCCGTGACATCACGTGTAGATGCATATGCATTCAACAGAATATTATATGTGAAGTTGTCAAAATGCATGCCCTTTTTCTCCATTTCTTGCACTAGAGAAATCAGTTTTATCCGTTTCCCCATCTGAGCGTAAAGATCCAGCATGTGGTTGTAGGACAAGTTTTCAGCATAGCCCAACTCTCTCATCTTCTGCATGATGGCCTCTGCTTTATCCAATAATTTTTCCTGCACATAACAATTCAAAAGAGCACCATAGAGATGGGCAGCTTTCAAATCATTGGGCGTGATCTCGAAATACCTCTCTGCTTGCTCCAGACCATGGACTTTGTAAATCAGATCCAGGTGTATTGCTGCACTTCCAGATGTGAATTTTGAATTATTACCAAACCATTCAGAAACCTACAGGAAAAAATACAACACTAAGGTAACTGACACCCTGAGCAATAATAGTACCGCTTTCTGAAGCATCTCAACAAAAGCGAAACAGAAAGCAACAATGGCCATCAGAAAGTTATTCACCACCCAAGTTGAAATTGCAATAACATTCTAATAATTAAAGAAACGAATCGATATCACAGAGCAGAAACACCTAAATAATTAACCAGTTCAAAAATGAACAAAAGAATAGGCTCAATAGCAACAAAACTGATGATCAAGGGAAGTCATATCTCAATATAAAACCAGGAGCCCAGTTCAAAGAAGGAAAAAAGATATAATTTTTACTTGAGAATTCAAACAAAAATAGCGAATAAAAAAAAATGAAAATCATACCTCTAGGGCGTCATCGTAACGCCTCCATGTTCTAAGCTGTTTGATGGAATTGCGGACGATCTGAGAGTCAATTTCTCTGCCTTCATCAGCCCATTGTTTCAGAACTTGAGAGGCTTCTTTACGATTGGGATTCCTGGTATCCGTAGCACCCATTAGCCTCCGGAATAGAGTGTTCTCGTGAACTGAATAGGGTAGCGAAGACGGCTCAGTAGTAGTATCAGTTCCCGTAGAGGAAAAGTATGCTGAAACTGCTCCCAGACCTCCATTTCTCACTGAAATTGGTTTGGTTTTGCAGAAAGGGTTCAAGGAAGAAGAAGCGAAACAGCGAAGAACGGTTTTAGTCATCGTTGTAATTTGAGGAGCGCTTCCTTCATGCGTCTTATTGGCCAAATGGTGGAAGATGACGCCTTTTGGGCCCTAACATGTTAGGAAACATTTGTTGGGTATTACGGTCCTAAAAGAAGAGACGGGGTACAAAGCATTTGTTGTTGGGGGTGGGGTTGTGGGGTGGTATTTGTGGGTAGAACTTACCATTCAATTAGAACAAATTGCATGTTGTGTCAATACACTATTTTACAAAAGATTTACCGAATACACCCTCTATCCCAAAATTGTCCAGTTTGAATATTTATTTTTAGTATAATTTCGAACTGAACAATAATTTTGGGACGTAAGGAATACATTAATGGCTTGTCACACCCTGTTTGTGGGTAGAACTTACCATTCAATTAGAACAAATTGCATGTTGTGTCAATACACTATTTTACAAAAGATTTACCGAATACATCCTCTATCCCAAAATTGTCCAGTTTGAATATTTATTTTTAGTATAATTTCGAACTGAACAATAATTTTGGGACGTAAAGAATACATTAATGGCTTGTCACACCCAATACACTGTTTGTGGGTAGAACTTACCATTCAATTAGAACAAATTGCATGTTGTGTCAACACACTATTTTACAAAAGATTTACCGAATACACCCTCTATCCTAAAATTGTCCAGTTTGAATATTTATTTTTAGTATAATTTCGAATTGAACAATAATTTTGGGACATAAGGAATACATTAATGGCTTGTCACACCCAATACACTGTTTGTCAAATGTATTGACAGCCAAAAGGCCTAAAACTAAAATCTCTTCATTTGTCAAACAAGATTAATGATGCCTTGGTTTTCATGGATGGAACTGCTGAATGAGATGAAGAATATATGCACATTCCAAAAGAAGAGCTGCTCACTGCATGGCTTCTGATTCATCTTCAAATTCATCAAATATAGCAATTATTAGAAGTTAGAACCTCTTTAAACTTATGAGCCACCGCCCCATTTCCAGAACATCCAGATTCACTTTCTAAGTTCATCACAGTGCTGTCCTAGGTTTAGAGCTTCTCTTCCAGTCTGGCGGACTCATTCTCTATCTGAGCCAGCACAGACGAATCTCCCTTTCTCATATACTTCGAAATTAGGTCTTTCAAATCCGCACTTGATTTAACTCTTTCAAGCAAACCTAAACTCTCTTCAGCTGCACAATTATCTCCTTTTCCCTCTAAATACTCAAAACAAGAAGCAAAAACAGGAATATCTGGTCTCCGCCGAGGATTTTTACGTAATCCATTCATTGTCCATTTTACATCTTCCATCTGATATTTTTTGACATAACCTGATGCCATATAATGCCAAGTCCTCGCATTAGGCTCATTTCCTCTCTCCAAGAGTTTTTTTACAATCAACTCTGCTTCTTCCACCTGACCTTTCGTGCAAAGTGCAGCCAAAAGGAGGTTTGGAATCCGAATGTCAAAAAACACACTTCTAGAAAACCATTCGTCAAACAACTTATGTGCACCGACAGTGTCATCCAATTTCAGCAGGGAACTAATCATACAAGTATAACTCTTATTAAGCCACCTCTTAGGTTTCTTATGCAATTTCCATATGCGATATACCTCATCTTTATTACCCATACTAGCATATTGAGTCATAATAACCTCGTAAGCATGACCTACTTCGCTAGATCTTAAACCTCTTCGTTCTTCATCCTTGATTTTATGTTCACATTTTTTTAGCATACTTGCAGCCTTGGCAATGTCCCCGGCTTTTAGATACCCATTTGCGGAGATAGAGTAAGAATTCCAGCCCATAACTACAAGAGGGTCGGCTTCCATCTTCATCAACAGTTTCTCCATTCCCATTACATCACTTGTAGATCCATATGCATTCAACAAAATCCTATACGTGAAGCTGTCCAAATTCATACCTTTGTTCTCCATTTCTCGCACTAAAGAAATCATTTTTATCGACTCCCGCATCTGTGAGTAAAGAGTCAGCATACGGTTGTAGGACAAGTTATCTGCATCGCCCAACTCTCTCATCTTCTGCATGATGGCCTCCGCTTTATCCAACAATTTTTCGAGCACGTAACAGTTCAAAAGAAATCTGTAGAGATGGGGATCTTTTGAATCATCAGGGGTGCTCTCAAAATACCTTTCCGCTTGCTCCAGACCATGGACTTTGTAAATCAGATCCAGGTGTATTGCACTTCCAATTCTATAATTTGGATTAGAAATGCTACGAATCCATTCAGAAATCTACAGGAAATGATAAAACACTCAGGTAATGTCTGTGATGCCCCAACCAAACCCCCTATTCATTATGGTGGTCAGGTCGGACGTCTGCCTCAGCTCGCGCCAGGACTAAAATGTAATTTATAATTTTTACAAAAGAATTTACAACAAAATTATCATCCCAAATTAAAAGATCGTCAATTGCTAACCAATTAAAGAATCTAACTTTGTTCCTTAAAAGGGGAAAAAAAACGTGGAACTGAATTTACAACTTTAATTATTCATATCTAAATCTATGCCTACACTATTATCCCAATTCTAGGCTCAACCCTCATCAACGTGGGTGATCACGATCCCAAGACTTCGTCTGAGGAAATTGCAGCGGAGGGGAAAAGGATAAGCTTATACTTAGTGAGGTCTAATTCGGACTGTATTATCACTGCCAGTCCGCAACATGCAAGTGTAGGTGTGCATATAGAGAAAGACAAACAAGAATTTTAAAAAGAAAACATAACAAACAAATGATGATCATACCCAAGACCATCAAACACAAGCAACAATAGTTCACATTGTAAAGCCGTCATGGACCTATGTGGTCTCATTGGACAACCTTCACATAAGTTCCAACCATAGAGTTTCATGTCATCACAAAGTATAATTAAACATACCAGTTCCAGAACTCAAAGGAAACAATCCTAAAGTCGACTAGCTTGCAAGCATACCACCTTGATGCAACAGCAAAAGTAAACAGAAAATTATATGAGAAAAGATCCTAGTTCAACCAGAAAGGAAACTAACATATTAGTCTCTTAGGTTAAAATTCTGAAATCCCAACATTACGGTGACAAATGGTCAAGTTCGAATACAACTTATGAGCAAACCGTTAATTGTTTTAATGTGCTGTCAGAACTACAATAAACTAGGGTGAACAGAGAATAATTTTATCAAAAGAAGCCAGAAAAAAAAAACATGTTTGGAGACCAAGAGAAACAATTCCTTCAAAACAGCAACTCTGACAGGATTTTATACTTAAAAACTTTTAGATTTTTATGTAATATTTACACTGAGTTTATGGAAAAACTATAACTCCCGCTGAAACAAAATAAACCTCATCAAATATAGAAGATATTTACGCAAATAAACCTCAGAAAACAACTCAAAGGATATGAGTAACTAACTCCTAAACAGAAAGTTAGAAATTTGCATTTTCAAATTTTCAGTTTAGACATATCCTGTTCAAATCATGTTTTTTTTTGGGCAATCCACAACTCCATTTTGAAATCCGTAAAAACAACGATAAACTAGAATGAACGAGGATGATATTCATAAAAAGAAACCCTTAAAAAAATTAGCGAGCTAAGAGAAAAAGGTTTCACAACAGGGAGCTGCAAATCTGATTATTCTTCCGTAACAGCAATTATACCTTGTTTCAAACAAATACTCTAAAAGATTCAGTAAGCCATTTGGCTAAGCATGGAAAGAAACAGAAACCTTGATCTCCAGAAAATCTTAAACAAGAAAAGTATGCACTGAAGAATCATAAAACATGTCAATCGAACCCCACAAAAGAAACTAACCAAATCTGGATTTTTCCAATTCCTTTGTTCATTGTTCATTTCAGAACTCCAGTTTGTACTTTCAGACCATAAAGTAATCATTTGACAGCCCCTAAAAGAAGTCCCTAGCTATTGAAACAATATACAATTACGGAATGCAAGATTTAGTTAAGAGACATTTATTTTTATTTTTTTTCCAGATTCCCCAAACTAATTCTCCCCCAAAATTCCAGCAAATAAACATCTCATGTATGCCTTTCCTTAAGGTTCTCTTTCATGTTTTGAATTGATTCCCGCTGCCTTTGGTTTTACTTTAATTTTACCATCTTATATCTACATCAAACTAGACTAGCGGTTGCATGCAACACCAAGGAATATGGAAGTTTTGATTCACTAAGAGTTTGCAAATCAGCAAGTCTCAAATGAATCAATAACTCCCACCTACCAACCGAAGTTTCCTATTTTCATATGCATCAGGAAAAGAAATAAACGCGAAGAAAAGCTACTCCAAAAATCCTTTCCCTTAATCTTTAATCTCAAAGTCTCAATTTGGATTCTATAAGAAGATTAGTAGGGTACCTCAGCAAATTATCAATTCGATGCTCTGTCTCCTTCCTAATTGAGCTCCAACCAATAGCCCTTTCCTCCGCTTAGATCTCTTTCTTTCTCCCTTGCTTTGCCTAACGGAACCAGCACCATCGCCTCACTCCCTTTTCTTTACTTTTCCATGACTTTGACTTCATGGCTATTTCATTATTTGCTCCTTTCAATTTTTCTTTTATTCGAACTTAAGGATGATGAAAGTGGCCAAGAAAGAAAGATTGGCTGGCTGAGGAGTCGAAGGATTAAGGAATGAAATTAGGAAGGAGGAAGAAGAAGATGAGAATGAAATCAGGATGGAGGTCGGTCATGAATGGGATTCAAGAAGGAAGGGGAAGATTTAGAAACTGGAAGAAGCTTGAGGAACATCACCGTTCTTCTTCTCTTTCTCAATTAGATGAGGATGAAAATAAAATTACCATCCAAGGCCCTCAAATGGATTAACTTAGTTACTTGAATCCTTATGCTTCCAAATGGCCCAATTGAACCCTCCTTTTTATGCTTATTAGTTAAACGAGATTAATTTGTGTAAAACTTGTTTTAACGAGTCTAAATAAAAGGTATTTCACTAATCGTACTAAGCAGGAAGGTCGTGAGAACCGAGCCCTCACAATGTCACATTAAACGGTAACAGAATTTGCACACTTTGGATAGTCTGTCTACTTGACAGCTTTCTGGCGCATATCAAGAAATGCAAAGCACCATAAAGCAACAATGAGCATCAATGTAAGTCATACTTCAAAAGATACTCACAACCCCAGTTCAAATAGCAATAAGCCAATAACATTCTTCTTAAAGAAAGAAATGGAAACCACAAAAACGCCTAAACAATTAACCAGAGCAAAAATGAAAACAAGTATAAAATACAAACAAGATTGAGCATCAAAGGGAATTCATATTTCAAAATAAACCAGGAACCCAGTTCAAAGAAGGAAAAAGACACCATAACATTTTTAGTTAGAAGATAAACAAAATAATAGCGAATGATATAATTAATTATTGCATGACTGCAAGTTCCAGTTGCTAAACTGAACGTTAATGATACCAAGTTACCAATCCATTCGAAAATCTACAGGAAGAGATACAACACTCAGCTCATGTCACCTTCAACGTCTGTGCACTTAGCAACTTTCTAAAGCATCTCAAGAAAACCTAAGCAAGTATTACTGAAAGATAACATTTTTTTTAAAATAGCACAGCATAAAGATAACATTTTTTTTTATAAAAATCAAACAAAAAAGGGGAAAAAAAAAAAGATATGACATTTTTTACTACCAAGCATAGAGAAAAAGTGAGAATTTTAATAACATCATAATTCCCGGTAAAAACATGGAAAATAATAATTATACCTCTAGGGCGTGACGGTAACGACCCATTTTTCTAAACAGCTTGACGGAATCGAAGACGACCCGAATGTCAATTTCTCTACCTTCATCAACCCATTGTTTCAGAACTTGAGAGGGTGCTTTACGATTGGGATTCCTAGGATGGATAGCACCCATTAGCCTCCGGAATAGTGTGTTCTCATCCACAGAAAGGGGTGGCGAAGATGGTTTAGTAGTAGTATCAGTTCCAGTGCAGAAAAAATATGCTGAAATTGTTCCGATCTCTCCATTTCTCACTCGAATTGGTTTGTTTTTGCAGACAGGGTTCAAGGAAGAAGAAGAAGAAGAAGAAGCAAAACAGCGGAGAAGGTTTTTGGCCATTGTTAATGTTGTCATTTGGGGTAGCTTCTTTCTGCAACCCACCATATTGGGCGATTAATTTTTAAAAGATAATTCTTTGGGCCTAAATGTTTGTGGGAAAAATTTTTGGGTATCACGGACTGAAAGAAGATATGGGACAACATCTTTAGCCCATTTATTTGCTTCATTTTCACATTTAATAGAAATGGAGTCGCCAAAGCAACAGGTCATGTTTAAAATTTGGATACATCGGTTCGTTTCTTTTTCCGAATGTTTGAGTATATATGTGAGAACTGAGTTCTCAAGTCCTCCCTGCTTAGTATTAATGGTTAAATCAACATTTTCTTTAGATTATTTAAAACAAGTTAATCATGTTTAACTGATAAATATAAAAGAGATTCAATTAACTGTTTGAAAACACAAGGATTAAATTAACTAGATGAACCAAATTAAGGGACCAAGCTACAATTACTGAGATAAATATTACTCCCTCCGTCCCATAATTATTGTCCAATTTTAGTTTTTATTTATAGTTCAAATTGTACTAAAAGTAAAATCTCAAAGTGGACAATAATTTTGGGACGGAGGAGTAGTATTTTCCTTTCTTTTATTCTGGAAACCGTCGAGAGACTCCTCCCATTAAACCAGATTTTCCTTTATCTTCTTTATCCTTCTCCAAACTTCTTCTACCCTGATCAAATATCTACTCTCAATTATATTCCACCACCATCATCGATCATCTTCTTCTAACCTCTATTTCCTTTCTTCTTTTTATTTCTATTTCTTCCCTTCCTCCAATATGTCCAGCAACGCCACCCGACTTCCTCCGTGCAATCATCTAAATCATTACTACGTTCTTTGATATTAAAAATCAAAGGGGAAAAAAAATGAGGGAATCAGCTAGGGAGCCAAAAGAAAGGTGGAAAAGAAGATTAAAAAGGAAGAGGTAAAGTTCGATTGACTTTAGTTTGTTTTAGCTTAATTTCGCTTTATATATACTAGATGTTAAATCCGTACAATAGAACATGTCAGAAAAATTATCATAAAATAATAAATTCTCGAAATTTATAAATAAATTGCATGATTATAAATCACGCAGTTTACTTTTGATCATCTTGTTACTCGTTTCTCCACTTTCACCACATATTAAAACTTTAAATTATTTTTTTTATATGACTTGAGATAGAGCAACATATATTGCTGAAAATCAGACGTAATAACTATAATCCAACTTGAGAAACTCTAGTGATTGTCATTGCGAAACAAATAGCCACTGAGATGTTTTTTCTTTATTTTTGAATGAAAATTTAGTGTTAGTGGGGCACAAACACATGCGGGGAATGTTTATGTTGTCTCCGACGTGGTTGCCCAGGACAAACTTTGTTTCAATGCCATGTCCCAACCTTAAAATTCGAAATTCACCTTGCCAAACAACATTCCTCAGCAACATAATTGGAACGTTCTTCTTTTTCCGATTTAGCTTATGTAGTGGCAATGCAGTTTTTTAGTTTTCTTACTTTATAAGATTGAGAAATTCAAGATCCTCAGTATTAACTCCACCTTTTGATGGGCAAATATTATCCGAGCTTACATACAAACCCTTTTCTTTTGATAACTTGTCTAATAGGTAGTCATTTATAGTATCAGCACTCAAGGATAACTTTTTGTTGTGAGTAGTGTGGGCCATCCAGATTATCTACATAAGAGTAAATATAATCGACAACTGCATTGACTGAATAATAATCATTTTCGATAAGATTGAATTGTTGTCTCCTAATAAAAATAATTCAAGTTTACCATATATATATATATTATTTACTTTCACCCATTGAGGTGTTATAGTCACTGTTACAACAATTTTAAATCTTTAAACTGTCTCGCTAGATAATGAAGATTGGTCCCATTCATTGAGGTGATTTAATCACTTACCCCACCCCATTCACAATACCTCAATCATTGTAAGAGTAGTTTTAGAACTTTTCGTCAGACGCCCTGCCTGATATTTATACCTGTTGAGGTACTTAATGTCAGATCAATTTTAAATCTTTTAACTAATTCATACTTAATCAAGTCAAAATAATACATTTACTCACATAGATTGTATTATATGTAAGTAAAATTTAAGTTTAATAATACGAAAATTTTGTATATCTTGAATAAAATAGTTTTCTTGATAGAGTGTACATATATAAGATATAAGTTTTATATAATTCTTGTAATGTTAAATCGTTGAATAACTATTTATATGATGACATCATGTTTACAAAACTGAATTGTTATGTCCGAATATAAATAATTAGTTATCAACTTTTCATAATTCAAAAGTATTACAACTTTTCATAAATTAGTTATCCTTCACCCGTTGAATTACCTTATCCATTGTTGCAACCATTTTAAATCTGCTGGATTGGGGCATCTTGATCATTCCCATTGAGGCAATTTTGTCATGAATTGTTATGCTCCAATATAAATGATTCAAAAGTATTACACCTTTTATAAATTATTTACTCTTTACCGATTAAATTACCTAAGCCATTGTTGCAACAATTTTAAATCTTTTGATTAAGTGTCTTACCAGTTGAGGTATCTTGATGACTCCTGTTGAAGTGATTTAATTAGTCACTCATCCTACCCGTTAGTGTGTCTTAGTCATTCTTAGAGTAGTCTTTAAACTTTTCAACGGATGCCTCACCTGTTGAGTTGCCTTAGTTCTACCCGTTGAGGTGCCCTAATCACAGTTAGAACGATTTTAAATCCTTTAGTCAGATGTCGTACCTGTTGAAGTACCTTAGTTACAGTTAAAACAATTTTAAATTTTTTAGTCAGATGTCGGCCCCATTAAGATATCTCCATAACTTTTACCAATGTGATATTGGGAAAAAAAAAAACCATGTTACTTATTTCAAAACATGAAAAGAAAATTATTATCCAATATACTTTATGTTCCAAATGCTTCTCGATTATATATACGTACGAAAGTAATATTTTTTTATCCGCAACATATGATCACTTTTTTTTCTTACTATCTGTAGTTTTCCTTGTTCAACTTCATAAATTGTGCCTTTGTAAATAATTTTTGTATAATACAGTTTTAGATTTGTAACGATTTATATACTGAAACATATGCTCAAAGCATGTAAAATGAGCTCATCTTTTCACTTCATAAAATAATGATTGTGGCTATATGAAGCCAGTGAATGTTAATAAGTGTGTTTGTATTAAATAACTTTTGGAGCAACTTTTTTTTTTCACTCTCTTAGAAGCCATCTATGTGAACTTATGCTTTGCCTTTTTAGCTCATGTAATTTCACTGATGAATCAAACACAAAAATAGAGGAAAAATGCTCGAAACTAAAAAATATGTAAAAAATGCAGACAAGCAAGTCTTCAACTCATATAAAAGATAGACTAAAATCTAAAATGGTTTTTCATATTAGGCCAAATGCACCTCCTAGAAATCCGTACAATGAGAGATCTAATAGGTCAAGCAGTTGCAAGAGACAAATTCTTTCCCATCTTTGCAAACAATTATTCTAGCTAGCAACAAAATGAAAATGAGACAAAATACACTCCCTTTACATAGAATGCCAGAAATTACCATTTGACAACACAACTAATCTCGATTGATTCAGTCACTCATGCCATTTTGCGAAGCAGAAACATAATTACAAATACTTCCATTGCCAACTGATGGGCGCAGACCTTACCTTGAAGCTTTGTTAGTTGATCCATACCTTCATATGTCCCCCTATCAGAGAATAATTTCAAATTGTACCTGGAAGATGACTCTTGCACCTCTTCCCATTTGTCAATTAGCTCTTTTAAGTTTCTCAAAACCCTGAAAACAAAATTCACAATGGTAATATCATTATTATTTTAAATGGACAGGGATGTGAGATCTAGGTTGTTCAGACACCTTCAGCATAAGGGGGGATATAGCCCATCTTAGCAAGCAAACGAATCTAAGATCATAAGGTTCATTTGCTGCAAAAAGGTTGGGTGAGGGGGAAAAGCGACCTCCTTGCTAAAAGGATACGCTCACCAAATGGATTGTGAAGTCACCAAATGATTCCTTTGACAATCATTTCCTTTTCCAGTGAAAAAATAAGGGCTCTAGAACTTTCTCGAGATCATGAATCTTAACCTTGTCCATGAAAGCTTTAGCCAATGATGTTTGGTTGCTGTTTCCTTCAAACCAAAGCTACCAGAAAACAAAAGGGTCCAGATTTAGATTTCATATATCCAGGTTGGCTTTGCAACTAAAATGAAAAGTACATATGATGATTCTATCTTTGAACATATTTTTCTTAAGCAAAAAAGATGGGCCTCAATAATTACCTGATATCTATTTGAACCATCACAAGTTCAGCCAATTTCAGCCATGTATGACCTAGCACATCCATTAGGGCACCACTAATCTAGAAATCCTTACTACATTAGATTCATAGTAATTGAGACCAACCTGAAACCAAAACAAAAAAAAATAATAATATTAATAATCTAAAATCAATTTTTCAGCAGGAACAACATTATTTAATCTTTGTGAACGTCAAAACTATCAGAATCCTCATACTTTATCGTCTCAAAAGCTCGCCCACTCTTCAGCATGTCAGGCATTCCACACCTCGGCTTTTATCTAGATTTTCATATATGTTTCCCCCTTGTTGGAAAACACCATCAGGTATATTCACAAAAGCCTATTCCACAGAACGGAAGCAGCTCCCAAAGAATCAATTACCTTAAATCAAACACCCACTTTACCTTTACCTAAGCACATCAAATGCAATTCAGTTTAAACTTTTTAAAATTGATATTTTTATAATGTATTTTGTAATTAATGTAGAACTACAGTACCATGTGCTCAAGCCGGCAAATGGACAGATTTGGACTACTTGAGATTGGTTTTTAATGGTTATTAGCTTAATAGATAAATACTCATTCATATCCATTAAATTTTAATGGACTTAAATGGATGGGTATTAAATACCCATGGATATCTATGAGTATCCATGGATATCCATAAATACATACCCATGGATATCTAGAAATACATTTAGTGGACTTTTTAACATAAATACATATGTTACCAATGTAATAAATATGAGCCCAACTAAATAAAACGAAATAATAAATTAATTCTTTCACACTAATATGAATAGTATGAGTCCAATAAGTTAGAAAATACAAGAGTATATTTTATTTGAACAAAAATTCAAATGTGACCCAGATATTGGATCGACCCG